AAACTCTGAAGATTGTCAAAACTCCCAAATGCGAAACCTTGCCGAAACTCTAACAAACAATTAATGTGTAACCTGTCGAAACTCTGTCGATTGATTTCTGGAGGAGTTTCGCCCACAACCTTAGCAAGTGCTAAAGTGGGTAAGAACAACCAAATTTTACAGTATAGCTAGCATAATCAATGATTTTGGTGTCAAAGATTCCCCTCTTTAAAAGAAGCATTTTTTTACTACAAAGCAGATCCTCTCTCTATAATAGAAACCTCAATCGTCTGGTGTAGTCGTTGCAAAAAAATTTCCTCCGTACTAATGACCTTTAAAACTTAATATAGGAAAAAATTTAATATATGTTTTTATGTAAAAAATTTGTCGTGTTACATTGTAGAAACATGTTCTGCGAACTCAAATCATTTTTCTGAATTAAAAATTCCCATCTGTATGATAAGTTATAACAGTTTATGTTTCTTTAATTAATGGTTGACAAAAATCTCTACTATTATTTGATTTCCTTTATTATTGTGATTGAAACTGGTATGTAAGATATATAAGAAGTTGTAATAGCAACTTCTACCCGAATATGCAAATGCTTGAAGATTTTACTGTTACTATTATAATTACTGGTGTTTTTACAAGATCACTACCCCATTTTCACCATTACCGGTTCAATTGAGGACCTGTTATACTTATTATTATATCTAACATCAAATGCAATATCCTACAATAAAAAATGAAATAATGTATTAATATTTCAATTTAACAATAAAAAAAAAGTAGCATCCAACATTTAAATATACACATTGCAAATGCTTGTTACTACTAATACATATAGACATACAGACTATACAGATCATAAGCCCAATTCTAAAGATCATTTTATCGATTAATGACCACGCTAATAAATTGTCAAATGTTTGAATGTGGTTCATGCCTTCGTATAATTTATAAACATTCTAACTTGTGCGTGTGACTGACTGAAAAACTTTCTATGACGAAGTGATCGACATTCATAAATTATTGATCAATATAATAAATAAATTTTCCTCCTTGAAAAAAAAAAAAAAAAAAATGACTACTACTTTAATTTCAAAACTTCAAAATCCAAAATTACGGGAATATTTTATGAGGTAGATATATTTATTATTTTTTTGAAAGAATTGGAAATATGCAATTTATTCTAGTGATTTTATTAATTGAATTCTTTTTTTGTTTAAAAGTACGGTAGATAACACTATTATATATATATATATATAAATATAATATTTCATTTTGATAATATGTACTAAAAAATTGTTTTTATTATAATGATAATATATATATATATTCTTTTCTTTGATTATTTGATTAAAAGCATTTTTGGGGCCCTGGTAAGCTTAATAATATATTGATTTTTAAAATATTATTTGAAGGAAAAGTTTAACTTATTTTGTTGCTGTTCTTTTTTAGTTGCTAATTGGGGTTTACCTTTAGCTGCAATTGCTGATATCAAAAAAGATCCAGATATTATATCACCTAAAATGACTGTTGGTAACTAATAGTAAATAGTAATTATATTTCTTTCAAAAAGATTTATCACTGATAATTTTATATATAACTGTCTGTAAATGTAGCAATGTTAATATATTCAGCAACTTTTATGAGATTTGCATGGCAAGTAATACCTCGTAATCATTTACTTTTAGCATGTCATATGACAAATGAAGCATTACAATTTGTACAAGGATATAGATATCTTGATTATTACCAGTATGTGTTAAATATAAAAAAATTCTAAATTCCAAACTTTTACATGTATAATATAATTGATTTTTTTATGTGAATGATTTAGTATGGGAGGAAAAGAAAGAAAATTAAAAAAATTAGAAGAGGAAAGTAAAAAATTAAAAGAAAGTGATAAAACATCAACATCACCAACGGTTCTTTGAAATTTTTATTTTTATTACTTTTAAATAAAATTATCATTAATAGTTCTTTATTTT